TTCGACCGGTCTTTTTCCTCCGCGCACGACTCGGCGGTCTCACGCGAGTCTGTTAGCTGCACGAACGAATTGCCTGATGTTAATTAACGGAGCGCAGGGTTGAAAACCGAGACACCGGTTGTGACAGGGCAGCGAGAGAGAGAGAGAAAGAGAAAGAGAGAGAGAGAGAGAGAGCGCGGTTGAAGCGTGCGGCTTCGGCGGACAAAATCACCGGCCGGACACGCGGTGTAACGCTACTTGCTGCTCCGCTCACCTCTCTCCTCCCCGTTAACGTTATTATTAATAATGCAACGCGGTGGTAAGGTGCGCGCGAGAGTGAGGGCGAGAGCGCGCGCGCGCGCGAGAGAGAGAGAGAGAGAGAGAGAGAGAGAGTACTCGCGACGTGCCAACGGCGGATCTCCACCTGTTAGTCGGCATTTTGTCCTGGTACGTAATCCGCGGTCGATCAGTGGCGCCTGAGCCATTAACTATTGCTAATGACACAATTACCGTAGGTATAATTAGCGCAGCGAGACCAATGTACGTCGAGTCCGATCACGATCATGTGTGAGAGCCCGGCCGCAATGGCGGCCGACGAGACGCCGTGGCGAGTCGGCGTGAGTACACCGCGGAGGCCGCGGAGGTGCGAGCGAGCGAGTATAATGAGAATGAGAGAGTGAGAGAGAGAGAGAGAGAGAGAGAGAGAGAGAGAGATGTTTCACGTTATTCGATGGTTACGAGCGATGACATATTATTAATATAGCCGAGATATATATATATATATATATATATACACATATTATAGATATAAAATATATCCCTGTTCTATTTCTTAAAATAATATTACGACAGTTGATCAGAGGGAAGGGAGGGAGGGAGAAAACGAGAGAGATGATACAATGGCTTCTCCGTCTGGGAAATCGTACCGAACAACGTTCGTTCGCCACTGCCACTTGCTCGCGATCAACCCCCGCCTCGTCAGTCGTCCTTTTGTCCTTTTCTCGAAGGATATGTTTCGTCGGGTTTTTTCAAGGATTTCTGCGGTGAAAGGCTCGGTACACGCGCGGCTCAGTTCAAAAGAAACGTTTCGGTTTACAAAGCAACAGAGAAGAACTCAATTTCCTCGGTGCTCTTTCACCATCTTGTTATACGATATAGTAATAAGTGTAATGTAACGTAAAAGAGGGGGGAGAAGACCTTTACGTTCTACAAACGTAATGTGACGTTGCAAAAATTGTAACGCGTTTCATGTGAAAATCAAAGTAATCATAGCCGTTGCTGAAATACCTGAGCCGAACACGTCCAAATTATTAATTGCCGGCTCTTTGTCTCTTCTTTTCTTCCGACTTGTATATCATATTATTGAGACTCGCGTAATTCGCAAAGAGAACGCGCATCCGATTTGAATTCCGATTTACTCCTCTGGACGCACGACGAGATCGGGCTTGGTCCTGCCGAAGGCAGACGCGCGACGACCGTCATCAGGACGACCGTGTATAAACGTTATTCTATCACATGCTGCTCACTTTACTCCGTGACGACGGAAATTCTCGAGCGGAAACCGAGCCGGACGATTCGCCACGCTCAGACATGGAAATGATCAGTGCGAGTTCGCGCGAGTCGATCAGATTTCATTTCGCAGGCTGTATCTTCTTTTTTACTCGCACTCCTTTGCGTTGTCGCGACGATTTTCTTGCCGTGAAAATTTCACCGGCGCGTGTAAATTTCAAATGGAAATCGATACAGTGAGCCGCCGAATTATTTATCGCCGAACGCGCGCGATCTTTTTTGCGGCAAAAACAATCGGGAGAATCAATATTTCCGATTTGTGGAACATTTGCAAATGCGGACCAAGTTTCACGCGAAAAGCTAATTTCTATCAATTTAATTTATTTCGGTATAGCATTTGCTCCGCGCGCGCGCGCGCGCGCGCGGGGAGGGTAGCTTTTATTGCTTCATATTATCACAAACTCTCTCGCTTTAAATTAAAAAATGAAGAAGACATTTCCCCGTTTAATGTACCGAAGGGCTTATGTATACATATCCTCCCTGCGAGTAAACAAAGGATAAAATATAATGCGCGAATTTGTAATACCATTTTCATCATTTTGCGCGATTTTATCCGAACGAGCGATTTATGAATTTTCGGAAAGACAGAGGCTGAAAAATATGCAGAAGGACGACTGATCGTTTCCATCTCGAGCGACGCGCGAATATCACGTGCGAATTACAAGAATAAGCAGAAGAATAAGTAGGCAAAATAAAACGAGAGCGAACTGGCAAGACAGAGAGAGAGAGAGAGAGAGAGAGAGAGGGAGGGAGGGAGGGGACGAAAGGGAAGGGAAAGCGAGGAAACGAAATCGTACTTGAACGAGCTGACTGACTAACGTCTCTCCGGCGGCGAGACGAGCAACCTTCGAGCTTATCGCTCGGACTGACTAGCAGATCCGTTGCGCTCGTGATAACAGCGTGATTTTAGTACGCGCCGCGTATTGTCTGTTGCGATACCGGCGCGATCCCTAGAAGATTTTGGACCATTTGGCAGTGCGATACGCGGTCTCGAGGTCGGATCCCGTCGCCAAGCGTCGCTTGTATCTCCACGAAACATTGCACACACGCACGCACACGCGCACACACACACACACACACACACATACATACATTCACATCGCCAATCGATTCGACCTGATCAAAGCAAGCTCGATCGAGCAAATTTGCCAAGTTTTTTCACCACCTTCCGGGAATTCGTGACAACGAATGTGTTCCGACGACGCCGGAGATCCGAAAAATTTCAGGTTGACGATCGGACAACCAAGAGAAATCGGTAGATTTGAGTTGGAAGATGACTCGCGAGTCAAATGATAATTTCCTACCCTGTTTAATCGGCGGTTTCGAGCAGCGATCGAAATTTGTGAATCTTTAGATCTCTTCAGATTTACACGGTTTGTACCGAACATTTTTCTCAGTACGTAAGCACACTTACGTGATCACACAGACACCATCGCGCGAGAGATCGCGCGATAAGCAACACACGACTAAATGACGATCACATAAAGAACACGAAGGGAAAAGTTACACACTCGCGGATGGAAGTGTCGCACGGGGGAGAGCCGTCGCGACTAAATGAAATCACCGCCGCGAGGAATGCGAAAAGGTTGCGCGACAATTCCTGAGAGATACGACCGACGAAGGGAGACGGCGATCCGCAGAGGAGCCTCCGACGAGCTCGAGTCGCGTCGGCAATCTCGCAGGACGACTTCGCGCGAGGGCCGCGCGCATCATCGTAATCACCGCGAGTCCGTCTCCCCGGCGCTTTTTGGCGGCCGCGTTTTTTCTAGGATTTTATACTGCTGCGCGTCGCCGTTTCTACTGCGTGAATTTTGATACTATTCGCAATCGCTCCGCGCGCAGGACTCGCGATCGTGGACGTCAACGCGCCCGTCGCCGGGGGGATGATCGATCGACGCGCGGATCGACGCCGGGCAAAAAGTAGACTGATCGAAAGAGTGCGATGGAGAGAGAAAGGAAGACGCGGAAGATGACGGAACGCTTTGCCTCCCTCCGTGTCGACTAGAGAGGGACGAAGAGGGGGGAGGGAGGCAAGTGTCCAGCCCGAAGCACACAGTAATCGTGATATCGAGCATTTAAGCGATCAACATTCCACACGAGTAGCCTAGTAGTCTTTAATCAATTGCCGATAATCACTCGAACCGAACAGCATTCAGAGAATTCCTCGACGAGAAAGCGATATTCTTCTAAGAATCCTGCTCGGCCAAGTTGGCAAAACTCGCAAAGCGAGCGTGCGGGGAGGGGGGATAGGAAGCACTCATCTTGCTCGTCTGCGAGCAAGTCTGAAACGTGTCGCTTGCTTCT